ACTGCTGACTATAGAACATGCTGGTTTTGCCCAGCTTTATGGGCTGCAGCTGGGTTTGGCTTGAGTGGTCTGTGTGCCCGGGCTACAGACTGGTAAAAGGCTTAGTCACTACCCAAAATGCGTGGCTTCTGAGGCCTTGCCCAGTAAACCCCAACCACTCACCAGGCGCCAGCTTTGTGACCTCATGAGGGCACCACCAGGCTCTAGCCTCCACTCTGCTTCTGTACTTGCCCCACATCCTCAGCAGATGACTGCCATGGTTTTCTACTTTCAGAGCATTTTATTTTGGAGGACTAACCTTGGGGTCATGCTGAGCCATGGTTCCTGAGGTGACATGGGGGTTGAGAATAATGTTCTGATTTTTTGCCCATTGGTGAAACATTTGGGGGCACAAGAGAGCCCTCCACATTGCCAGAGGCCACACAGTGAGGCAGAGCCTAGGACTCTTCATCTTCTCAGACTCCACATCTGAGTTCATCTGCATGGCCGTGAGCTGTAGGCTCAGCTGGAAGAAGCTTTGAAAAGCTTTGCTTCCCCTGCACCTTGGCCATCCCTCAGAAAGGGACTGTGGTTCAGGAATGACCACATGGTCAGCATGCACTAAGCAGTGCTCCATGAGGACAGAATCCTTCTGTGCTTTGTCACATTAGGCATAGATGCAGCAAGCCACTGCAGGGACAAGTTGAAGCTTGAGGCCAGGAGAATTGGGGAATCACATTATCAGTCAGCCCAGAAACTTGCCAATGGCTCTGAGGCTGCTGAGCCATCCTGGCAGCATTGCCACGTGAGCCCCAGGCAGTGCCCCATGGATCCCATCCAGACCTCACTGATGGGTGCAGGCTTGTCCTGTGACCCCCAAGAATAGGCAGGAGGGTAAGACAGGACTGTATGTGAGAAACACCTGCATGGGTAGAAGGCCAAAAGTTTGTCAAGTGTTCCACGAGCTAATGGATATGGAGATATTGGTTACTCCATGGAAGCATCCAGCCAAAAGCACCCACGTACTTGACTTCTTATTTAAACAGAGTGGAACTTTGATTTGCAGCCTAAGGGAGGACTCAGGGAGAGGATCAAATGAGGAAACCCCTTGGAAGTGATTGTTAGGTTTATGGATTACACTGGGGGGCATTTGGCTGACACCCAACACACCCTGTAACTGAATGTGTAAAGTCCATGAAAGTCAGCAACAGGCCTACAATTAAGATTTGACAATTTGTGTTGTGAGAATGCATGAAGCTACACCAAATATTGGGATTTAATTTATAGCTCTAGTGAGCCTTTTATTAATAAAAGAAGGATGCAGACTAGAAGGTGGTGAGAAAGAAGTTCAAGAGGGGCTCAAGAAAAAATTCGCTGATTTGCGGTTTCCTGTATGATTCTGGTGATGGCAGACACACCCATGTGCCTCTGAAAGTCTTTTATTTGCTTTTCATTTTTCCTGTGGCCAAGAGGGTATGTGCCTAATGTCCCCTTTAAATGAGAAGTGGAAGCACAGAGCACAGCACATGATGTGTGTTTGAACAAATCCCTGTAACCTGTGCATCGAGGCATCCTACAGAATTGATGTATCAGAATGTACATGTTCCTTTTGGAAACTGAGCTCTTAGAAGAACGGAACCAGGCAGGGTTCTGTATGGAGCCTAAAATAGCCTGGGCTTTCTCAGACAGCACAAAGTTCTGTGGCAACAAACTTTAAAGGTCAACAAACTCAGAGATGGCCCCAAAGAACAGGGCTTCAGACACGCTGAAAACTGAGAAACAAGAGTGGGCCTATTGGCATTTGATTGATGTGCACAAGTTAATGAAGTAGCTGGGGGAATGCATAAAGGTAGGATGTAAAAGAGGGTATGAGGGAAGGGAAGAGGATTAAAGCTGCAAAAACATTCCTGTAATGGATTTCTCAAACACACCAACCAACAGGCAAGGACAGGTGTTGTGTCAAACCATTTCCCAGTGAAACCTGATCCATCCATCAGCAGCAGAGGCCTGCTAACCCATTTGTCACTGAAGGGCCTGCCCCTTCTTTCCAGGGAGGCGCACTGAGCAGCCCTGAGACTCAGCCAGGAAATTGGCTTTGCAGACAAAGGGCCTGGGAGCAGACTGGTTTCCTTCATATGCAGCCAACTAGACCTCCTCTCTGCATCTGCCCCTTCGATGGCTGAGTAGGCCGTTATTGATCATGGAGTCTCCCTACCTCCCTAGACTCCTTCCTGCCCCAAAACACAAGAGAAGGGGGTTTTGATTTTCACATCATTTATCACTTCATTACTCTGCTTTTGATCCCTTAGTGAAACTTAAGTTTTACTCCAGCAGCCAAGTTGGGAGTGTTTGTCTAGTGAAGCAACAGCTAAGGCTTTAGCTTAGGAGGCACAGGGAAGTGGCAGAGCCGAGCACCAAACTATTGCTTATTTGTTTTGAAGCCAGGAAGGCTTGCCTGCCAGTCAGCCCTTGTGGGGCTGGATGCCCAGCTGGAGTGCCTCTGTCTTGCCCACACGGGCTGTTGCACACATGTTGGCATCAGGACAGAGGGGCTGCCTGGCCGCATGGCTGACCAGTGCCCAGCTTCGTGCTCCCCTGCTGCATGGCCTTCTGTCTCCATCAAGCAGTTGTCAAGGGGTGCGACAGGTGCCAAGAAGGGCTTAAGGGGGCCCAGTGTTTCTAGCACTGGGTCGGGGAGGTTGGTGCACAGAGGAGTGTGTGATCCATGTGTGAATAAGCCCTTAATTACGATGGGCAGGAGCCTGGGCCGTTAAGATGAAGTTGGCATTCTGGTGCCAGACTCCTTTCAGTTGCTCACATCTTTCTTGCAAAGTGATGTGCTAGCTTTAAGTATCTTGCTTGAGGCAAATTTCCTTGGAATGAGGTAGAGAAAAGGAGGAGGAAAAAATAAATAAAAAAAGACTCTTGGTGGAGTAGTTTTGAATTTATTAGACCATGGAAGAGAGTGCGTCTCACTGCCAGAGGAATTTTCCAGATGCCCCTGAGCTCACAATCGCGCACACCTCATTTTATGGGGAGCCTCCTGACTTGGTAGGTACACAGCGCACTGACCCTGAAGGAGGATTAAAGCCTTTGTATTTTTGAAATGAATTGCTTTCAAAAGCAAAGTTACCAACATTTAGCCAGAACATGTTGAGCCCAGGCAGTCCCTTTCCCATAGTCCAGAACTTCCTCCCTCTGAGAGAAAAGTCATTAGCTGTCTTGGCTGAGAGACTCAGCCAGGACTGGACTGTAATTTGTGGGGCCCAGTGTAAAACAAAAATGTTGGGTCCCTTGTTCAAACATTATTAAATTTAAGATGGCAACAGCAGAGCTTTACACCAAGTGTTGCCCCTTCCAAGGGCATGCCCATGAAGCTGGCCTTGGGCTCAGCCTTCTAAACTCTTGATTCATTCAGCAAGGATTTAGAGAGCATTTGCTGTATCCTAAATACTGTGCAATGGGCTTAGGTTTTGGGCAGGGAGTGAAAAAGTAATCGGCTTCCCACCAGGAATCTAAAATTACGTTAGGGTCAGATATCAAAATTAAATAATGATGAAGTAGTTGCTTAAAAGCCCAGGAGGCCCTACACCCACCCAAAGGAAAGAATCCATGAGAGAGCTCACCTTGACCACAGGCATCACTCGTTCAGCCTGGAAAGTGAGCTGGGGCAGGTGAATCAGGCAGTCTGTCCCGGTTTAGCCACACTGCTCCGTGAATAGCATGTGTTTCTTACTCCACATTTATGAGACCTAATTCACTTCTTTCCTGAGATGCGGAAGTAAGCTCTCAAGAGATGTTCTATTTTCAAAATAGCTTCCATTGTCCACAATTAAATAAAATGTTCATAGGACATTGTTGTACTAGGCCCTTGTCTCTGAGCTCATAATGTAGACCAAACTCAACTTGTGAATTTGAGTTCACAGGCAACAACAGTGGGACCCTGGTACCTAACTTGTGGGGCTCAGCTTTCAAAATATTAATTCATTCAACATTTACTGAGTTTTTACTTGGGCCAGGACCAAGGTTAGGGTCAGAAGACACACATAGGAACAAGACTCAGTAGCTGCCCCTAAGGAGTTCACAGTCTAATATTGTAATCAAAGGGACAGCAATACTTTCATAGAAACAGTAGGGCTTTCCCGCCGTGGCTTGGCTTAAGAGCTTCTGGAAATTTCCATCAACTAGGACACCTCCTGACCTCACTGAGTACCTTAATCACCAGGCTCTCCTGTGGTGACAGTAGTTTGTTTTAGGTAATTATCTCTTGTCTTCTGTGAGAAACCTGATTCCCACCATTCCTGTTGCCTTCTCCTGGTCTGCAGTGGAAACAACAACACAGGCAGGTGGAGTCTTGCAGTGAAACTGCAGCAAGCCCCGATGCTATCACTGTCAGGAGCTGAGCAGAATCTCATGTGGTCAGCATTCAGAGGGTGCCTCCAGGGCATTCTCAGTACCTGGATGAAGAGTGTCTGGGTGAAATATTTTCATCTCTCTTATCTTATACTCCATTAGTTTTATTTCTTCTCTTAAGTTAAATTCAGCTAAAATCCTGAAAACCAAATTTCCACTTTGGAACATGGTTTTGTTGTACAAATGGCATCAGTGATTTGTCTCATCCAAAGAGATGTGTTGTTTGGATTCTTGGATTGTTTGGGTCCCCATTAACGGAGCCTCCCAACAGCTGTGCTAGGACATTTAGGCCTGGACTGTGACCCTCCTCTGGTGAGCAGGGCCCACTCGCCCCCTGTCTCAGTGTGACAGAAGAGGCTGGTCGGTGTCAGAGTTGAACACCCGTCAGTGATGAGAGCCACACATTTCCATCCTTATAAATTCCTATAGGCAAAAGGCTGGAGGAAGGATTCAGACACCCCCCATACCCCCCACCCCGACAGCCCCAGTGTGTGAGGCTCTGCAGCTGTTTACTGTCACTAAAGACACCGAGGCACAAGCACCCTGAAATGCTGCATCAATGCTGTGCGCCCTCTAGGTCCAACCGGCACCTTTCCTTCTCTCCACAGATCTCCAGGACTTCAAGTTAGACGTGCAGCACGTGATCGAAGTGGATGAGGGCAACACAGCGGTCATCGCCTGCCACCTGCCTGAGAGCCACCCCAAAGCCCAGGTGCGGTACAGCGTCAAACAAGAATGGCTGGAGGCCTCCAGAGGTGAGTGGGTGGGCAGGAGCCCAGAAACTGAGGTCAGGAGGAAAGCCGGCCTCCCCTGACCACCCCCTGCCCAACAAAACTGGGTCCCCTGCTGCTACCTCTCCAACCACCACAAACACACTGAGGGCCCTGTCCTCATGCTGGCCAGCTGTCTTCTCTCTTGACATTTAGCCCTGTAGCACCCAAAACAGGGCAGCTTCCATTGTGGAGGTCTTCTGCCCCATGACAAGGAATTTCCTCATTTTTTGAAGCCCTGGGAGATGTTGCTGAGCTGCTTCCATTTGAACAAGGCTCTCAGCACATGGTTCCAGATGCTCCCTGTGTGAGGCCCCTGCCACTGCCACCAAGCACATCCAGAAAGGCTGTCTGGCAAGGCCAGCCACCTCCGGAGCTTTGTGGCTCCCTGGTAGGAGGTGGAGCTCCTCCCCACACGGCAGAGCAATCTTTTAAGCGGAACTTGAATTTTTCCCTCTCCTCTCTTGCCTGGTAATGCATTGTCTCAGCTCTCACAGTTCCCTGCTCAGGCCACAGTGGACAGGACACTGGTCCAGGGCAGGCCAAGCCATGGTCCAGAGAGTGCCAGCAGAGAGGGCATGGCCCTCAAGACCAAGTCAGCTTCTCCCCACAACTGGCCCTCACTTAAGGCCAAGTAGACCCTCTCCTTGACCTGACTCCACAGCTTGGAATGTATACCTTTTAAAATATTCCCTATATTTTTAAGATATTTTTATTAGCTCTTTCTGGTTATAAGAGGAATATTTGTTCATTGTAGAAAACTTTTTGAAAAGTAGAAACCCTAACCCAACACTCAGAAACAACTGGAGACTGAGAGAAAAAGAGCATTAATCCCTGCTGTCCCTGGTAGAAGCTTGGCAGAAGCCCTTATGGGAGGCCTACCCGCCCCACAGGCTTCCTCTGCTCCATCTGGTACTTGCCATAGCAGCTCACACCTGGGTGGCCCAGCAGCAGGCAGGCACCAGGCTTGGTAACACCACGACTCTCAGGAGGGACCACCAGGACAAAGCTCAGAGCTGGCAGCCAGTGCTTTGCCTGCCGGGAAGCTGAGTGCCATCCCAGCCACTGGGGTGTTCAGAAGCTGTGAATCTGCCTTCTGTCTAAAGAACCTGAACACACCCCTGGGACCCCACCCCATGGCACCCCTGGACCAAGAGCAGACAAAGCAGAAAAAAGGGTTTCGATGGCATTCATGGAGAAGGCAGTGGTTGATGGTGAAGATATTCCTCTCCAGTAGCAGAAATGCGATAATGAGGTGACTTAGAGTGGGGGCTATGACGGAGACTGATGTGAAGTTCCAAAGTCAATTCCCTTGTCCCTGGGGGCTTGAAGGAATGATGTCTCATCTCCCATGTGCAGCATGGGCCCATTATGCCTTTTTACAAATAATGAAACAGGGTCAGAGAGGTTAATTAACTTACCCAAGATCACACAGTACTTGGCAGATCTAGAGCTTGAGCCCAGGTCTGGCTAACCCCAAATCCTGCTTTCTTTCCACCCTCCCCTAGCTTGCTTGAAGGCATAAAATGCACTTCCACAGACCTGTGCACTAACTCCAGAGTGGTTAGTAACCCAGTTCATGAGCTGGTGGGTTAGTTACTTTCTCGCCCTGGCACTTCTGTTCCACTTGGTTCAAAGTTTTATGGGGAGCATAGCAGTTTAGGTTTGGGCTTATTAGGACCCAGGTATACATCAGCTCCTGGCTCCTGCTTCATCTGTCCCCCTCTCTCCATACCCCTAACCCCCAAACTCATCCCATATTCCCCTCGCCCTGCCCTTTCCCCAGGTAACTACCTGATCATGCCGTCGGGGAACCTCCAGATTGTGAACGCCAGCCAGGAGGATGAGGGCACATACAAGTGCGCGGCCTACAACCCGGTGACCCAGGAAGTGAAAACCTCTGGCTCTAGCGACAGGCTGCGTGTGCGCCGTAAGGGCCGGACCCACATGATGGGAGGGGGATATTGATGATGAAGGGACTAGTACAGCTGGGAAGGGAGGTGGGAACCTGTGGTGAGAAGTCTAAGCTCCAGTTCTGTGCTGTCGGTGGCGGGCTGAGGAGGTACATCCAGGACTCAGCTAGAAGTTCTGGCCCCTCTGGCCAGCCCCAGTCCCAGCCTCCCACAGCACACACAACACATGGCCCTCAGGCCTGGCTCAGCGGGTGGCTGTGCTTGCGGGTCACAGCTGTGCCTGTTGGGAGGTTTCCTTCCCTGTGTTACTTTGTGATTGGGATGGGCTGGGATGAGTGTGCGGGGGCAGAATGGTCTCCAGCTCAGCAGTTGGCATGACATGTGCATAGAAGAGATGCCATCAGAGTCCTCCAGGCCTGCCATTCTGCCCTGCTTGAGGTGTGCCCAGCACCTGCCTCTGGTGGAAGCCCACGGAGGTCCACGCTCTCTTCCAATAGTATGAAAAAAACAGCCGCCTTTTCTGAGCACTTTTCTAGGGTCCCTGCACGTTCAGTGGAGTGACATCGTACACTGAGTTAGGCTTTAGAAGTCAGAACCAGGGGCCAGCTAGTTAGCTAGGTTGGTTAGAGCACAGCTTTGTAATACCAAGGTCAAGGGTTCAGATCCCCATACTGACCAGCTTCCAAAAAAAAAAGAAGTTGACACCAGAGGTGGAGGACAGTGATGCTAATGAAGCTAAACTTCACTGGTCCCTCACTCACACTAACAAGGGAGCCTGTAATTTTGTGTCTGTAATTTTTTAATTGGGGTGGGGGCAGGGGGTCCCAAACTGTACAAATTTCAGGTTTTATTAAACCCAAATCTGCCCTTGGTTGACACATAAAGCAGAATCACACATAAGCCACATGCTCCCTGAGGGTTGCTGAGGAAGGCAGCATGCTGGAGGGAAACGTGCCTTTCAATAAGTTCTGTGTGGCTTGTGTCCCAGCATAGGAAAAAGATCGTGGTTTGCTCAGCTGAGCATCCCATGAAGTACATGATGTGCGTTTGGGGACCTTGCAATGTGAGAAATGCAAATCTTTAAACAGTGGGTTCCATTCAGCTCAGCAGCTGCTTGCTGTGAGGGATGCTCGGGACCAAGACCCACAGTTGGGGTTGGGGGACACAGCAGACCCTCATCTCCCATCTCATCTGCAGCCTCACAGTGCGCTTACTGAGGCAAGCAGGGAAAATCACCTGCACCATTTAAATTGTTTCTCTCCACGCCCACATCTGTCTCTATTTGCCAGTACAGAGTTAACCTTACAGATGCTGCGTTGATAATACTGCTGCACTGTATTATCTCATTTCTTACTCCTAACAGCTCTCTGCAGAAGTTAGCCCTTGTTTCTTACAACCTAGGTTGTAAGCCCCTAAAGTGCAGTCTGATCCCAAATCCATGCTCTCTGGGACTGCCTGCCAGGGCCAGGCCGCCCAAGGCAGGGCCTGAGAAGATCCCCTGCAGAAGTCTTTGCCCCATGCACTGTCTGTCCTTCCCTCCTCACCCCTCCAGGCTCCACCGCCGAGGCTGCTCGCATCATCTACCCCCCAGAGGCCCAGACCATCATTGTCACCAGAGGCCAGAGTCTCATCCTAGAGTGTGTGGCCAGTGGGATCCCACCCCCCCGGGTCACCTGGGCCAAGGATGGGTCCAGTGTCACTGGCTACAACAAGACACGCTTCTTGCTGAGCAACCTCCTCATCGACACCACCAGTGAGGAGGATTCCGGGACCTACCGCTGCATGGCTGACAACGGGGTCGGGGAGCCCAGGGCTGCAGTCATCCTCTACAATGTCCAGGTGTTCGGTGAGTGTCTCTTGTGGACTTTCCTCTTTGGCCTTCTCTCTGGTCTAGTCTGTGTGGCCTTTCTAGAAGCATATAACCCAGGCTTAGAGAGGGTTAGATCTCATGAAGGGCTATGCACCGAGTGAGTGACAGGACTAGGCACGCTGGAAAGTCAGAGACCTTCAGATCCCAGAGGCTCGGGCACGCAGTCCTGGGCCCTTCTGTAGTCCCTATCCTATCATGACTCTGGTCATGAAGAATGGGAATTCTCCTTCCTTCTACCCCTGCCTGTTAGAAAAATCCAACAGCCAAGGGAAGGAGGGAGCTGTTCCTGACCGCGTCCCTTCCCAGCCTGTCTGGCTCTGGGACGGCAGACGCAGCCGTTCTCACCCCTGCTCTGGCTTCTTGGCAGAACCCCCTGAGGTCACCATGGAGCTGTCCCAGCTGGTCATCCCATGGGGCCAGAGTGCCAAGCTCTCCTGTGAGGTGCGAGGGAACCCCCCGCCCTCTGTGGTGTGGCTGAGGAATGCCATGCCCCTCACCTCCAGCCAGCGCCTCCGGTTGTCCCACAGGGCCCTGCGTGTGGTCAGCGTAGGGCCCGAGGACGAAGGCGTCTACCAGTGCATGGCCGAGAATGAAGTTGGAAGTGCCCACGCCGTGGTCCAACTGAGGACCGCCAGGCCAGGTGAGTGCAGCCCAAGGATCTGAGCTTCCAGCTGAACACTCACAGAGTCCTTTCTCAAATGATATCCAACTTACAACACTAGTATATGAAACAGATAAATGTGGCTTTTAGTTGTAAGTCCAAATTTTCATTAACTTATTAATAAATCAGAAGTGCAGACTTTCACTAATGAAAATGATCCATTAACTGATGTATTTTTTTATTAGTATTAGTTTGCAAAGTCTTTGAGTTCCTAGGGTTCCATAGAATTCAGTTTGACAACCACTGCTCTAGAGCAAAGAAAAGCAAATCTGTCCTTCTCAGCTTAACTCATTCCAATTAATGCCTACACTAATCGAGCAGTTACCATGTGCTCAGCACTTGCCTAGGTATGACTAAGACCCCTACCCTCAAGAACTTTCCTATGGAGAAGGTAAAACCAAGGAAACAGTTTGACAAAAATATAATGCTGGGTCAACATTATCGGGTGCCGTTGTCCCATGGTGGGGGAGGTCAGGTAAAGGAGAGCCTAGTGCAGGTGGAGTCTGTGGAAGCTTCCTCAAGGAAGCGCTGCCTCTCCAGGACTCTCAGATTCTCAGAGGACATTCCCAGTTGGCTTCATGTCTCACATCTCCAGGTCACCTCAGTGGAGCAGGAAAAGGCCCATGTGGTGCCATGATATTAAGATCCCATGAAGGGACATGTCCCCATCCCCCGCCCAGACATGAGAAGGAAGGCTCAGGATTCCTCTGCCTCAGTAGCAAAGTGAGATAGTTCCCTCAAGATGTGTCCAGCTTGCTCTCAGGAAAATAGCAGGTAGCAGAGATGCTTGCCTGCTGCCCCCAAGCCAAGCAAGAGGCCTGGGCAGGGCAGGGGCTCCAGCTCTCTTCCCACAGAGCCTGGCTGTGTGTCACAGAGCGAGCCAATGGTCAGACATCTCAGGTCTTCTCTCTGACTTCTTTCTCAGTTTTCTCCCTTGGAACAACAGCTCAGCAGGTAAACCAGGGGGACTCAAACCCTCTTCCTTCCTTTCTCTTTTCTGCTTGGTCTTCCAGGCACAACCCTGAGACCCTGGCAGGATGCAAAGCCAGTGATTGCCACACCTCCCACGCCACCCTTCAGACCTGGCAGCCCTGACCAGATGCTGAGGGGGCGACTGGAGCTCCCCAGGCCCCCAACGTCAGTGCAGCCTGCCTCCCTGCAGTGCCCAGGAGAGAGAGGGCAGGTGGCTCCTGCCGAGGCCCCCATCATCCTCAGCTCACCTCGGACTTCCAAGACTGACTCCTACGAGCTGGTGTGGCGGCCTCGGCACGAGGGTAGTGGCCGGGCACCGATCCTCTACTATGTGGTGAAACACCGCAAGGTATGGCCCTGGAGTGGCGCTGTCGCCTCCCCCACAAGTCTCCCCTCAGTGAGGCTCAGCAGGGTCACGCTGCCTCCTGGCCATCTCCCCTTGAGCCCTTGAAGCCCGAACCAGCACACCCCACTGCTGATCATGACCTTGTCCCTGTGAACATGCCCACCACCTCCCAGGAAACTGATCGTGAGATGGACCTTTAGGATCCGAAGGGTCCAGGAAAAAGTCGTGTTTGTGTGCCTTTAGGGGCAGTTTCTCACTAACCCTAAGCTCTGTGCACTCGATTCCCAGAGGCTCACCCAGCCTCTAGCCCGAGGAGACAGTCAACAGGCTCCCTGTTAACTGTTGCCCTCCTCCCCTCTTTCTTGTGTCATCCATTGTTGATGTTGTTTGTTTGTTTTTTAACCTAAATAAGCTCTGCTAGGTACATACCTGCAGGAACTCTGGCATGGCAGCCTAGCTCTACAGCCAGGAAAACAAATATTTGTGAACAAGTGTTTCTCTGTGGGCTACAAAATACCCCCTCAGTTCTCAGAATCCGTCATGGCTCAGGTTTGACAAGCGGCATTTGAGCTCAAAGCACATCATGTTGTAGAGACCTCAGCTATTTCTCCTTGACAGAAGGAAGTCTGTCCAGGTAAATGTTTTGGGAGCTGTCAGGGAGGGAGTCTCGAGCCAAGCCAGGACCATGCTCCTGGACGCTGTGCCCTGAGAGGCAGGACAGGCTCCCAGGCTGCACCCTCACTCAAGGCTGTGTCTTCTCTGCTGTTATTCCACAGGGAAGAGGACATGAGATTCCCTATAAGAAAATATCCTTGAAAATGTTTCTCCTCACCCCAAGTATATATGCTGTTTCATTCTGAGGCCATTAGATAGTAGAAAATTATTGTTCTTAAGTGGATTTTTAAAAATTTTATTTGCTAAGTAATAGCATATTGTATATGCTGAGTTTTATTCACGTTTATATTATTTTTGCTTATAAAAGTATAATGTGCACTTGGTAGAAAATACGGAAAATGTATGAATGTAGAATTAAAAGTATTTATCTACTTTTTTCCCCCTACAAAAACAAACATGAAAACAAAGCCAGTTCTACACAGTGGCAAGTGTTGGCTGTGCAGAGCCATGTCCCTGCTTTGGACCTGCTGGCGCATATCATTCTGCTCTCGCCTTTTCCTTCACATGCTCTCCTGAAAGACCTTAGGTCAGGACAAGCACACAGAGACTCTGGGTCGTCAGAAAGACCCCTAGGTCAGACAGCCCCTGTTGCCTCCTCTGCTGCCTCCTGGTGTGGTGGGGGGGCAGTTTCTCACTAACCCTGAGCCCGCTGGCCTCTTCCCTGGCAGCCAGCAAAGGGGGTGAGTGAGTTTTTAACAAAAAGCAGCATTGTTCAGCACATGTTTTCGGGCAGGGCTGGTCCTAATCCTTATTTCCCCGTGTAACTGGACACCTCCATCTCAGAGTTGTAGACAAAGATCAGGGCAGGCCAAACACCCATGGTCCCCAGGAGACAAAAACCAGCAGGAGAGCAAGAATAATATTTTTCAGGCCAATAGGTGGCCATGGAACCGCCTCACACAGGAGGAAGGCTGGCAGAGGCATGCCCTGGAGATCCGGAAATGCCAGGCGGAGGCTGTGCTCACCCTCTCTGTGTGTGACAGTGACTAATTACCTTTCCATTTCTTATTTCCTTTCTGGGCCCAAAGGAAGTGTGAGGCAACGCTAGGAGGGCAGAGGGAGAAGGGACACAGGGGAAGTGAGAGGGGACGCGGCCCCTGCTGGCTCTGGCTTCTATTAGGCTACAGCCTGTGGGCTGCTTGGGGCTGTTAGGCAGACATTGCCAAAGGAGAAATTGTGTCTTGGAAGCAGTTCCTTTCTTGTGGAACTAACGTCTTAAAGATCATCAGTCAAGAAAGAATTTTGAAATCAAAAGTGGGCGTTTGATTTGTGTTTTTTTGTCTCCCTTCTGTTACTGGGGAATCGTTCAGCTAATATTCACTTTTTCACATGCATGAAGCAAATTTCTTTTCCTGGTACATCTGCAGACGCTGGGCTACTGTGTTTGGTTTTGCAGCACCACTGGGGATTCTCAGTTTGTAAAAACTTCTCCCCTTGGAACAAATCCTGGAAGCCTGACATTAATGAGCCTAGTCCATTCCTGTCCCTTGAATGGTAGGTTTTGTTCTACTCTGGAATATTCTGCTTGAGGATAAGAGCTTTTCCTACCAGCTGTGTTCTTCCTTACACAAACCACAGCTTCAGGTTTCAGCAGGCTCTGAGATGTACGGATCGGCAGTCAAGCCTTTTGTCCTGAAAGGTGGGGAGGGTAAGATGATGCAGGCTCTCAGCATCACCTGTCGAGGAGCCTGGAGCTCCCCTGTTTTTTTTTAAAGTCTTAGGACTTTTTTTTTTTTTTTAGTGAGGAATCTTCAAACAGTTCATGGAAAGAGTTGTATTTTTTTTTCTTTTCTTTTTATTTCTTTTTTTTAATTGAAATACAATTGATTGTATATATCTGTGGGATACAGCATTGAATATTAATACCTGTGTGTAATATCTGATGCTAAAATCAGGATAATTAGTATATTCAACCTTACATGATGTAATCATTTTTTCTTGTGGACTTTTACCAATTTCTCTTGTCCTTTTTTTAATTGAAATACAATTGATTGTATATATCTGTGGGATACAGCATTGAATATTAATACCTGTGTGTAATATCTGATGCTAAAATCAGGATAATTAGTATATTCAACCTTACATGATGTAATCATTTTTTCTTGTGGACTTTTACCAATTTCTCACTGACCCCCCCCCCAACCCTCCCCTTTCCTTCCTCTGGTGGCCTCAGTTCCTTTCTCTCCTTTTGAAAGTTCAATGAATTATTGTGATTGTTGTAGCTTTCTTTCTTTCTTTTTATATTTTGTTTACTTATTTTTTTAGCTCCCACTTATGAGTGAGGACATACGGTATTTCTCTTTCTGTGTCTGGCTTATTTCACTTAACATAATTTTCTCTAAGTTCATACATGTTGCTGTGAATAGCAGAATTTCATTCTTTTTTACGGCAGGGTAGTATTCCATTGGGTATACCACATTTGCCTTTTCCAGTCATCCATCAATGGACATTTAGGTTTGTTCCAACTCTTGGCTGTTGTAAATAGAGCTGCAATAAACATGGAAGTGCAGGTTTCCCTTTGACATGATGATTTCCACCTTTTGGTATATACCAAGCAGTGAGATTATGGGATCTTATGGCAGTTCTGTCTGTAGTTGTTTGAGGAACCTGCATACCACTTTCCATAATGGCTGCACTAAATTACAGTCCGACCAACAGTGTAGGAGGGTTCCCTTTTCTCTGCATCTTTGCCAGCATTTGTTATTCTTTGTCTTTTTTATAATGGCCAGTCTATGTGGTGTGAGATGATATCTCAGTGTGGCTTTGATTTGCATTTCCCTGATGCTTATTGATGTTGAGCATTTTTTCTTGTGTCTGTTGGTCATTTGTATGTGTTCATTTGAGAAATGCCTGTTTAGCTCCTTTGACTATTTTTTAATCAGGTTACTTGTTTTTTTTACTGTTAAGTTGTTTCAGTACCTTGTTTATTCTGGATATTAATCGCTTTTGGATGCATAGTTTGCAAGTATTTTCTCCCACACTGTAGGTTGCCTTTTTGCTCTGTTAATTGTTTCTTTTGCTGTGCAGAAGCTTTTTAATTTAAAATAATCCCATTTGTTCATTTTTCCATTTGTTGCCTGTGCTTTGGGAGCCATATTCATAAAGTCTTTGCCCAGTCCTACTTCCTGAAGTGTTTCCCCTGTGTTTTCTTTTAGCAGTTTTATAGTTTCAGGTCTTATGTATAAGTCTTTAATCCATTTAGAGTTGATTTTGTTTTATTACAAGAGGTGCAGATCTAGTTTCATTCTTCTACATATGGATGTCTAGTTTTCCTAGTACTGCTTATTGAAAAGGCAGTCTTTTCCCCAGTGTATGCTCCTGTTGACCTTATCAAATATCAGTTGGCTATAAGTATGTGAGTTGATTTCTGGGTTCTCTATTCTGTTCCGTTGGTCCAAGTGTTTGTTTTTATGCCAGTACTGTGCTGTTTTGGATACTATATCTTTGTAGTATAATTAGAAAGCAGGTAGTGTTATGCCTCCCTTTTTTTTTTTTTTGCTCAGGATGGCTATTTGGTGTCTTTTGTTGTTCCATGTAAATGTTAGGGTTGTTTTTTCTATTTCTGTGAAGAATGTTGTTGATATTTTGATGGGATTGCACTGAATCTGTAGATCACTTTCAGTAGTATGGACATTTTCACAATGTTTATCTTTCCAATTCAAGAGCATAGAATGTCTTACCATCTTTTTGTGTCCTCTTTAATTTCTTTCAGCAGTGATTTGTAGTTCTCATTGTAGAGAGATCTCACCTCCTTTGTTAAATTGATTGCTAGGTATTTCATTTTTTTGTTGACTATTGTAAATGGGCTTGATTTCTTCATTTCTTTTTCTGCTGCTTCATCATAGAAATGCAAATGCTACTGATTTTTGCATGTTCATTTTGTATCCTGCAACTTTACTGAAATCATTTATCAGCTCTAAGAGTTTTTTTGTAGAGTCTTTAGGTTTTTCTATATGTAGGATCATGTCATCTGCAAACAGGGACAGTTTGACTTCATCTTTTCCAATCTGGATGCCCTTTATTTCTTTCTTTTGCCTGATTGCTCTGGCTAGTACTTCCAATACTATGTTAAATAGGAGTGGTGAGAGTGGGAATGCTTGTCTTGTTACTGTTCTTATGGGGAAGGCTTTCAGCCTTTCTCCATTCAGGATATTGGCAGTGGGTTTGTCACATAAGACTTTTGTTATTTTGAGCTACTTTCCTTCTATACCTTATTTGCTGAGAGTCTTTATCTTGAAAGGATGTTGAATGTTGTCAAATGCTTTTTCTGTATCTATTGAGATAATCATATGGTTTTTGTCCTTGATTTTGTTGATGTGATGTATCACATTTATTGATGTGTGTATGTTGAACCATCCTGGCATCCCTGGGATAAATCCCATTTGATCTTGGTGTATAATTTTTTCGATGTGTTACCGTATTCTGTTTGCTAATATTTTGTTGAGGATTCTTGTGTCTGTGTTCATCAGAGATAATGGCCCCTAGTTTTCTTTTTTGTTGTTGTATTTCTCTCTAGTTTTGGTATCAAGGTGATGCTGGCCTCTAAGAATGAGTTTGGGAGTATGGCCTCTGTTTCAGTATTTTGGAATAGTTTGAAGAAAATTAGTATTAATTCCTCTGTAAAATTCAGCAGTAAAGCCATCCAGTCCTGCACTTTTCTTTGTCGGGAGACTGCTGATTACTGCTTCAATCTTGTTGCTTGTTATTGGTCTGTTCCTGTTTCTATTTCTTCTTGATTCAGTCTTGGTAGTTTGTATGTGTCCAGAGATTTATCTGTTTCCTCCAAGTTTTCAAATTTGTTGGCGTATAATTGTTTGTAATGGTCTCCAGTGAGTGTTTGTATTTCTGTGGAATCAGTTGTAATGTGTCATTTTTCATTTCTGATTTTTGCTATTTGGGTCTTCCCTCTTCTTTTTTTAGTTAGCCTAGCTAATGGTATGTCTCTTTTGTTTATCTTCCCAGAAAAATAAAATTTTTTTGTTTCATCATTCTTTTCTATCATTTTTGGGGGTCTCTATTTCTTTTAATTCTTCTCTGATCTTAATTATTTCTTTCCGTCTACTAATTTTGGGATTGGATTGTTCTTGTTTTTCTAGTTCTTGAGGTGTAGTATTAGCTTGATTATTTGAGACCTTTCTGATTTTTTGATGTAAACATTTATTGCAATAAATTTCCCTCTTGGTACTGCTTTTGCATCATCCCACAGGTTTTGGTATGACGTGTCTGTATTTCCATTAGTTTCAAGAAATTTTTTGCTTTCCTGTTTAATTTTTTCTTGTACCTATAGGTCATTCAGGAGTATATTGTTTAATTCCCATGTATTTGTATAGTTTCCAGAGTTTCATTTGTTATTGATTTCTAGTTTTAATCCATTGTGTTCTGAAAAGGTACTTGAAATGATTTCACTTTTTAAAAAAATTTGTTGGGACTTGATTTGTAAGTGAATGTGTGGTCTATCCTGGAGAATATTCCATGTGCTGATGAGATGAATGTACATTCTGTAGTTGTTGGATGAAATGTTCTGCCAGGTCCAATTGGTCTAAAGTATAGTTTAAGTCCTGTGTTTTTCTTTTGGTTAGTTGCCTAGATGATCTGTCCAGTTCTGGGAGAGGGGTGTTTAGGTCCCCAACTATTATCATATTGGGGTCTATCTCTTTGTTTATGTCTAATAGTGTTTGCTCTGGTGTTGAGTGCATATGTAGTTATGATTGTTATGTCTTCTTGCTAGATAGATCCCTTTGTCTTTATATAGTGGCTTTGTCTCTTTTTAAAGTTTTTTGTTTGAAGTCTATTTTATCCAATATAAGAATAGCTGCTCCTGCTCATTTTTGGTTTCCATTTGCATGGTGTATCTTTTTTCATCCCTTCACTATTAGTCTGTGTGTGTCTTTACAGGTAAGGTGAGTATCTTGAAGACAGCATGTAATTGGGTCTAGCTTTTTAACTAGATCAGTCAGTCTGTGTCTTTTGAGTGGGGAGTTTAATCCATTTACATTTAGGGTTGGTGTAGAAAGGTTTTGTCTTACTCTTGGCATTTTATCAATTTTCATTTGGATATTTTAAAATCTTTTGTTCCTTTCTTCCCCTATTATTGTCTGTCTTTGATGTTTGTTGGTTTTTTTCAGGTGATAAGATTTTGTTTCTTTCTCTTTCTCATTTGCATTTTGTTCTACCAGTTTTTTTCTTTCTTGTGTATTCCTGAGAGTGATTATTGTTTTTCAGATTCCAGATGCAGGACTCCCTTGAGAATTTCTTGCAAGGTTGGTCATGTGGTGGTGAACTCCTGCACTTTTTGTTTGTCTGGGAATACACTATATCTCCCTCTTTTCTGAAGGATAGCCTTGCTCAGTATAGTGTTCTGGGCTGGTGGTTTTTTTCTTTTAGTATTTTGAATACATCATTCTATTTTCTTCTGGCCTGTAGAGTTTCTGTTGAGAAGTCTGCTGTTAATCTATCTAATGGGGACTCCATTTTAGGTGACTTGATGCTTTTTTCTTGCTTCTTCTAAGATTCTCTCATTGTCTTTAAACTTTGCCAGTTTGCCTATAATGTGTTTTAGAGAGGATCTTTTTGGATTGAATTTGTTTGGGGATCTTTGAGCCTCCTAGTTCTGAGTCTCTCCCTATACCTGGGAATTTTCTCATTATTATTTTGCTAAAAATATCTTCAATTCCTTTTCTTTTCTCCTTCCTTTCTGGAACAGCCATGATTCAGATGTTTGTGTACTTAAGGTTGTCTACTAGCTCTCTTAGATTTTCTTCATTTTTTGAGTTCTTTTTCCTTATTATTTTTTGGTCCACCTGGGTTACTTCGAAAACTCCATCCCTGAGATCAGAAATTCTTTCTTCTGCTTGCTCTAACCTGCTGCTTAAGCTCGTGGTTGTGTTTTTTATTTTGTTGAATGAATCCTTCAGCTTCAGGAGTTCTCCTATATTCTTTTTTAGGGTAGTAATCACTTTGTAAATTTCCTCCTTCATATCCTGGGTATTTTTCTTGTTTCTCTTATGTTGTCTAATTGAATCTTCTCATATCTCATTGAGTTTCCTTAAGATTGTTGCTTGGAATTCCTTTTCAGTCATTTCAAGGGTTTCCTGCTGTATGGGGTCGGGTACTTGAGAATTACTGTATCCCTTTGGTGGTGTCATATTTTCTTGTTTTCTCATAGTTCTAGTATATCTGCATTGATGTCTGGTCATTGGGTAGAGCATTTGCTTCTTCTGTTACTCTGGAGTGAGCTTTGAGGACAGAGACTTCCTCCTCTCTTTCTGGTCTCTGCTGGTGACTCTCCTTGTGTCAGTGCAGTCTAGTGGATGGGGGGCCACCTGAACAATGGCTGTGGCTGCTACTGTGGCAGCAAGCTGCCCTGCAGCAGCTGAGGCTGTGGCAGTAGCTGTGGTGGAATACCCACATGGAAGCAGTGTTTGTGACATATTCTTGCCTTCTATTGGGTGGGGGAGGCTGCCCATGGCTCCTACCTAAGTCCCTGGGCAAGCTGCCGCCTTCTGTCAGGCAGAGGATGCTGCCTGCAGCCTACAGTCTTAGGAATTTGAAGCCATTAAAGATTAATTCATAATAGTTACAATTCATCTACAGTTTTTAAATTCTGAGGAAGGACTGGGAGCAGAAGCAGAAAAAGTATTGAAGTGACAGAAACCTCACTGGGAGGAGGATGTGGAAGGATCCAAGGAGAGGACAGGCATTTTTTTGTTAACCTATTGTGTGCCAAGCTCAGTAGTCAGTACTTTATATAAGCCATCTAATTTAATCTTTAGAATAACCTGAGAGATTTTATTCACCTCATTTTAGAAATGAAAAGCTTAGGGGTTAGAGAGTTAAAGAATTTGCTCAGAATTACAAAACCAGGGTTTGAACCCAGGACTGGCTCCCAGACTCTTCTTTCTAGGGTAGGTTACAATTATGAACATGCTCTTTGGAGTCAAGTCATAGTTTCTGTGCTCACTAGCAATGTGTCCTTTAGCAAATTAGTCATTTCTCTAAGCCTCTATGATTAGTCTCCTCATTTGTGAAGTGGGGGCAATATTAATACTGATCTCTTCGGCTGTTGTTAGGAAAAATCAAGAATTGCATGTAAAGTGCTGAGTTTTGTGCCTACTACACATAGTAAGCACTCAGCAAATGTTGCTATTTCTACTTACGCTGCTGCTTTTATTTTCTTTCTAATCATCATCTGCTCTCATTAGAATATAAATGGAAGGAACTATGTTTGTTTTAAATACAGCAAGGAGAAAGAAACTTAAATATGGAGGGTTTTGGAAATACAGGGGCAGGAGTTCTTTGGAGAAGTTCTCAGCAATATCAGTCAGGCCTTCTGACCTTCCCCACTGAGGTAAGGTCTTTAGATGAGGGGTCATGGGGCCTGACTGGGCTGTCCCAGAGAGGCTGGCGTCCACAGCCAGGAAGGAGGCCAGCGAGAGTTCTGCAGTACCAGTCTTTCCCTGACCTGGCTCGTTGCCCTTCCCTCCTCCTGCCCTCTTGGGCTCAGTTTTGCTTTCCTCACAAGCCACAGCCCACCTCTAGATCCAGGCCAAGATGCTGATCCTTGGGCCGGCCCGGTGGCGCACTGGATAGTGCGCCGCTTGGGAAGTGTGGCAGTGCTCCCGCCGAGGGTTCGGATCCCACATACAGACCGGTTCCCGCTCACTGGCTGAGTGAGGCGCGGGAGCAACACCGAGGGCTGCGATGCCGTTGCCGTTCCCGGTCCGGTACGGGGGCGACACTGAGGGTTGCGATCCGTTGCCGGACACGGAAAAAAGACAAAAAAAAAAAAAAAAGATTCTGATCCTTACACCAGCCATTTTCTCCATAGCAGGTCACAAACTCCTCTGGTGAATGGACCATCTCCGGCATTCCAGCCAGCCAGCACCGCCTGACCCTCACCAGGCTCGACCCCGGGAGCTTGTATGAAGTAGAGATGGCAGCTTACAACTGTGCAGGCGAGGGCCAGACAGCCATGGTCACCTTTCGAACTGGTGAGAGGCAAACATTGCCCCTGGCTTGGGATTTCCACGGGCCTAAGCAAGTTCAACTAGGCCCTGGTGGGAATCCCTGCTCACCTTGCCCCCACTGTTCACATTGAACTGCGTCTCTCCTCCCGGCTACTACCTCCCTGTGGTCTGTGTGCCTGGATGGAGGTCCTCGCTCTCATCAGGAGGTCACCAGTGGCCTCTCTGACATTTCTTTGTCCCTCTCACACTGGGGCCAGCAGCAATAACCACAGAGTCAGGCAGAGCTGGGAAGTGGACCACACTTCAGCGTCCTGTCCTGTTTCTTATTTGCATCACCTTGTCACACCCCTTAGCAGAGTCTCAGGCAAAAAAGATCCTGTGGGGAGGGAGACCTAATGCATGCCCCTTCCCTTGTTGATCTCAACCCATTTTAATCCAGGACGGCGACCCAAACCCGAGATCATGGCCAGCAAGGAGCAGCAGGTCCAGAGAGATGACCCTGGAGCCAGCCCCCAGAGCAGCAACCAGCCAGACCATGGCCGCCTGTCCCGTAAGCCTCCTGCAGCTGTGCAGGCTGGGGGTGCTGAGCAGTCAGGCCTGGAACTGCATCACAGGGCAGGTTGCTGCAGGTTGAATGGGTTCTTGGTTCGGAGGTCCAGGTGTTCTGATGACATTTTCTTGGCCTCTCCTCAGTTAACCACTGTCAGAAAATATAGACTGGAGCTTTTCAAATAAAAGACCACATTTCAACACTGAGATTGCTGACCTTGTGGGTCCAGATAGCAGCAGAGGGGAGAGCAGCTGGCCCTTGTTTCTCCACACTCTGGCTTTACCAAAGTTTAGCTTAGGGGTCTTAACCCAAGGGCTTCTCCCGGGAGAACACAGCCCAGGTAGCCCAGGAAGTTCTGCTGCAAATACCCATGTGTAGAGGGCCACAAGGAGGACAGGCCCTATCAGGAGCAGGCAAAGTCCAGACAGAATCCAGCCATCATCTCATCATGGCCCCAACTCCAACTTCCTTCCTTACTGTGTGTGGTCTTCCCCAGCCCCAGAAGCTCCAGACAGGCCCACGATCTCCATGGCCTCTGAGACCTCAGTGTACGTGACCTGGATTCCCCGTGGAAATGGTGGGTTCCCAATCCAGTCCTTCCGTGTGGAGTACAAGAAGCTAAAGAAAGTGGGTGACTGGATTCTGGCCACCAGTGCCATCCCTCCCTCACGGCTCTCCGTGGAGATCACAGGCCTGGAGAAAGGTAGGGGCCTGGCCACTCTCCTGCCTGATCCCCAGCTGCCTCTGGCTCCTGGAGACAGAGGAGCACTGGAGGCCTTTCCGTCCTCTCGGTCACCACCCAGCAGCACGTTCAGTCCCTCCAACCCTTCCTTCTCCCTCTCTTCCCATGTGGCTCTTCTCTGATGTAGACGGGAGTTCTTGTGAGTCCTTGGGGGACATGCTTTGGGCAAGGCTGCCCAGAAGATTCCTCCCAGACCTGGGCCTTACTGGGCTGGTGGGGAGTCAAAGGCATTTCCCCTCTCCTGAGTTCAGTGTCTCTCTCACCAGGTACCTCTTACAAGTTCCGTGTCCGTGCCCTGAACATGCTGGGGGAGAGTGAGCCCAGCGCCCCCTCCCGGCCCTATGTGGTTTCAGGCTACAGCGGCCGCGTGTACGAGAGGCCTGTGGCGGGCCCATACATCACCTTCACTGACGCAGTCAACGAGACCACCATCATGCTCAAGTGGATGGTGAGTGGGCCTGGCCACGGACTGCAACAGGAATGTGGGGCAGAGGCTCACATCGGGCAAGTGCTGGCTGCCTGCAGCAGGGGCAGGGAGCAATCACTCCCTAGATGTTCCTCCACCTGTGTACCTGGGAGTCGGGCGCCCTCACGCAGGGGTCCTGCAAGCCCACTGGAGGAATGGGGGCTGCCGTCAGTGGTCTCCTGTCGGTTCTCTGCCTTAACCTGATAGACCTCCAGGCTGGTTCCTGTGTTCAGGTTATGTCCCACCCTCCTTTCTGCCCTTCCTCTAACACCACAGGGAATCCCAGCAGAACTGTTCAGGGTCCCTTTTAAGCAGAGATAATCACCCTCATGTCTAGGGAGGTTCAGAGGGGACTTAAGTCTTTGGAGAAATGGCAGTTTGTTTCTGTCTCTTAAAGCTTGGGGACCTCTAGGCTAAATAAGATAATGTGTAATCTCCACAGCATTCTTCAGGGAACCTCAGGGGTATCATCAGGAATGTTTGTTGGGGACCCCTTCTAACTCTAGGCTGGGGTAAAATTTCCATACACCGTTGGTTTTACTTTGATGATGATTTCTCTGCTCCATTGTGAACTTGTTTTTTTCTCCGTTCCCTCTAGTATATTCCAGCAAGTAACAACAACACTCCAATCCATGGCTTTTACATCTATTATCGACCCACAGACAGTGACAATGACAGTGACTACAAGAAGGATATGGTGGAAGGTAAGAAACACTTGTGTGTGATATGGTTTGCCCTGCTGGCACGGGGGTCTGGGCGTTGGTGAAATCTGGTGACGCCTAAAACCTGGGTCTGGTGTGACACAGAGCAGCTGTACCCCATATCACTGACCACTCGTGACACACTTGGGTCCGTCAGGTTCCTAAACTCACATGCTTTCTTCCTGTGATGATGGGACAACAGAGACCCGGTGGGTGGGCACCCGGACTGTTTCCTCTAGTGTTCCTGTACCTCACCGCCCCTTTGCCAGGCAAGTGGCCCCATCCAGACACATGGCCCTGCCTGAGTTGGAGTGTGAGATTGGGGCCAAGCAGACCACATGTGCATCACCATGCATGGTCTCTCATGCTACTTCCCAGGGGACAGGTACTGGCACTCCATCAGCCACCTGCAGCCAGAGACCTCCTACGACATCAAGATGCAGTGCTTCAATGAAGGAGGGGAGAGCGAGTTCAGCAACGTGATGATCTGCGAGACCAAAGGTGACTCTTTGGGTTCTCCTCTCGCTTCTGGCTGTTTCCAGCAAACTAAGGCAAAGTCAGTATTCCCTGTGCCATGCTGGGTTTCTCTCCCAGGAAGATTCCTTATTTTCCAAGTAGCCCCAGACTTCGTTATTTTTCGCCCTTCTGTTCACTCGTCTGTGCCTCATATTAAGTATGAGTGGATTGCAATCATGATGGTTTCAAGGAACTTGGGAATGAACTCATCCATGAACTCATGGAATAGAACCTATCCTTGAGTTGGGAACTCTCTATAAATACTTTATTCCTGCAATAACATTTGGTACTTAACTTTGGTTGGTTTATTTAACTTTACAACCCCATGAGAGGGGAAAGAAACTGAGCATCAGGAAACTATACACCTTGGCCAAGGTCATGCAGCCTATTAGTGCTGGAGCACGCTTTGGACCAGGTTCATCTAACTGAAAGCCAAGGCTCTTTCTCAGCACTAAAACATGTTAAATGTATTCACATAATAACTTAATATATGCTCATTGGCCAGGTGGATAGATTTCATTATCTCCATTTTGAAAATACTAAAAGCAAGATAAAGCAGGCATATTGCAAAGAACATAATCAGGAGATCACAAGGGAATAGGAATGGAGACAGAACAACACCTTTTCCCATCACTGAGGCAATAGCATTCTCTCCCCCACTTTGCATTGCTTTCAATCACTTATTCAACCAACCCTTACGGGGTGCCTCCTGTGCACACTTCCTGCCTTCTTCTGTCATGTACAATGAAGGGTGGGACAGACACTTACACAGCAAAAAATCCTGTATCAAGAGGTACAGAGAGTGCCCAGGGATAAGAACAGAGGCTTCACACTGGTCTTCTGGAAGGATTGAACCTTCAGGCTGGAATAAGGAGGGAGTGGCCTGGGGGACGGGCTGAGGCTGGAAGTAGCTGCAGCTGTTTGGCGTGTCCAGTGCCTGGAAGGAGGATGAGAGAGGGAAGCTCAGAGAAGAGGCCAGACACTGTGGTGGGCATTGGGTCCTTTCACTGTGGGACGAGCTGGCATGGTTAGGTCACGGGAGCCACTCAAGGCCGGGAGGTGGAGGAGGGTCATCGCTGAATTTGTTTGAGATTTCTTTGGGTCCCTGGATTTGTTTGGGTCCCTGGTGACTATGCAAAGAGTGGGCTGAAGGCAGAGAACTGGGGCTCTGAGGTAAGGTAAAGAGAAGGGATGGGGGACAGCCAGAGCTCATTTGGTTACAACACAGCCTTATAACACCAAGGTCACAGGTTCAGATACCCATTCCCCCAAAAAGGGAAGGGTTGGAGTCTTTTATCTGAGGAGATGTGGGCAGGACCAGAGACTGATGGTATGTTGAGGTTGGGAGAGAGTAAAAGGAGTTAAAAGTAGACTTTGGGGTTTCTAGCTTGAAGTGCTACCCGGATGATATTGCCATTTATTGACATGGGCAAGGCAAGGAGAGAAACAGATCTCATAAGAAAGGAACGAGGTAAAACCACGTGGAGACATAGTGAATGTGATGCTTCAGAGACATGGAAATGGAAGTGTCCATAGGGGAAGCATAGCTCCTGCCCCAGGAGGACCTGGCTGGGGTGTTGATGGGGGAGTCTTTAGGATATAGGTGGAAATGGTGGGAATGGGTGAGATTCCACAGAGTCTGTACTCTTACAGACTGAGGGGAACCAGGAGGACCTCCCAGTTTTTGAGGAGCAGCAGTCCGAGAAGTAGTGGGAAAGTCAAAAAACTGCAGTATCAGAAAGCGAAGGGAGAAGAAAAAGAGTTGTAAGAAAGTTAATGTCAGATACACTCTGGTAATAGTGAACCCAAAGGAGGAGTTTACAACCTCGACTTTTCACCTCTGAATTGGTGGTTCACAGCTACCTTCTGTCCTAGCGAGTCCCAAAGCATCCATCTCCCTGCTCTGTGCCCCAGGCTAATACCAGCTACTTCACAGCTCTTAATCTACCCAGAAATAGCAAATTTGTGGGTAATTTCTTCCAGCACCAATTCTTTTGCTGGCTTTATGCATTTTAAATATTTTCTTCCGAAAGTCACCAGTTATTTTTTCGGAAAACGCTCCACCACTTCCGACAGTGCTTGGCTCACAAACATCTCAGGTTCTGTTTTGAAATGTAAGGTTCGGGTTTCCTCACCAATACCCAACTTCACACGAGATGCCCATTTCCTGCTGCGTGGATGCCATTCAGAGAAGGGCTTTTGAGGCCCTGTCTTATGAGTTTGACCCCATTTCCCACACCCATGGAATTGGGTTTTTTTTTTTTTTCTTTTTGTTGTGAAGGAAATGTCAAAGAAATAGAGGCTGAAGTGAGGTTTGTCCACAATTACAGCTCGGAAATCTTCTGGTCAGCCTGGTCGACTCCCACCCCCAACTTTGGCCGTGCCACAGCCGCCACCCCCTGAAACAATAGAGCGGCCGGTGGGCACTGGGGCCATGGTGGCACGCTCCAGCGACCTGCCCTATCTGATCGTCGGGGTCGTCCTGGGCTCGATTGTCCTCATCATCGTCACCTTCATCCCCTTCTGTTTGTGGAGGGCCTGGTCTAAGCAAAGTGAGCAAGTGACCCTTCTCAACACCGAGGGGAAGGAGGCGGGGGAGGGGAGGCCACGGAGGGTGGGAGGGAGGGAAGGAGGGGCCACCCAGCCCACCAAGGAGGCCTCTGCCCTGTGCAGCATCAGAGGTGCTCACTTGTCATCCACGGGAGCTCAAGCCCCTGGGTCCCCTGAGCTCGCAGAGGACACCCTGAGACCAGGCCCCCCCAGCTCACAGACCTGGGCTGAAGGAGAGTAGGAGGAGATGTTGGTCTGTCCTCTCTGCATCACTGCAGCTCAGCTCTCATCTGGCTCCATCTCCTTTCAGTGTCAGAAGCTGCTTCTCTGACCTCCTGTCCACACTTAGTTGACCCTGCCTCTTCCCTCCGAGCGCTTCCTGCTTCTTGCCTGGGTTCCCCTTGTCCTGGGTTAATCTGACTTTCATCCACTCATTTTTGCTTTAAATGGCAACACATCTGGTCAACTTCATCCAAAATAATGCTTCGTCCAAGTATTGCTCCTTTGTCCAAGTATTGCTCACCCCCTCCTTCTTCCCCCACATCCTTGCCCCTGTATCTCTCTAACCCTCTCCTCACTGCAAAAAAAAGGGGGGATCTAGATGTTAGGAAGAAATGGGTGACAGGAAGATTTTGAGAGAAAATATCCTCCATCCCTTGGGCAATGTCACCTCCCTGCCTACTTCCTTTGTCCCTATGGAGTCAGGAGTTTCCTGAGACTACTATGGGATTTTTCCAAGCTGCCCCAGGCATCCTTGGCCCTAAGCATACCTTTGTCCTTCTGTCCTTCCAGAACATACAGCAGACCTGGGTTTTCCTCGTAGTGCCCTTCTGTCCCCCTCATGCCAGTACACTATGGTGCCATTGGGAGGACTCCCAGGCCACCATGTCAGCGGACAGCCCTACCTCAGTGGCATCAATGGACGGGCCTGTACCAATGGGATGCACGTGAACAGGGGCTGCCCTGCAGCCGCAATGGGCTTCCCAGCTGTGAAACCTCCACAGCACCACCCAGGGGAGCTTCAGCAGGTAACGTGTTCCTGGGCATGTGGGCAGCAGGTGTGGGACACCCAGGGGGAGTGGCCGGGCTGCCTCTTGAGGCTTCCTCCCTTCTAGCCGCTTATCCTGGGCTGCTGAGCCAGGCTGTCAAGAATAACTCATCCTGTTGAACAGTGGACACTAGAAAGTTCCCTGGCATCTGTGACAGGACCTTTTTGTAACTGTTTCTTTTGAGCAGCAGGATGACACCAACAGCCTGCTAAGGCAGACCATTCTTGGCAATGGATATGACCCCCAAAGCCACCAGATCACCAGGTAACTAGGCTGCTCCCCATCCCTGCCTTTTGATCCCAAGCCCCAGAGCCTCACTTTTGCCCTGACTTATCAAATCTGATATCAGTTGCGTCTCACTCAGGGATCCCCACATCTGACAACCAGCTCTGAAGGGCCATTACCCTGATGGGTAGTTGTTTTGTTTGCAGTTATGAAGCCCGTCCTGCTTGGGGACATGGGCTTCCTTCTCAGAATCCTTCCCTTAGTGGGCAGGCCACTGACACCCACATATGACTGACTGCCCAGAGGCCCCTGGACACCTGACTTCCAGTCTCTCACGTGGAATAAAATGGAAATGGGCTAGAACTCTCAGTGGAAGTAAGAGTGCAGTGCCTCTGGATGTTCACAAGGGAGCAGGCCTTACCCCGGCTGAGCTCTGAGCAGCTCTGATGCCCTCAGGCGGGAAGCGGCCAGGGGATGTAGGGGATGCAGCCCACTCTGCCCCTTCCTTCCACCCCATGCGGTCTCTTTCCATGCAGGGCTCCCAAGGCCAGCCGGGACGAGGGCTCTCTCGTATACACGCTGCCTGATGACTCCACTCACCAGCTGCTCCGGCCTCACCAGGACTGCCACCACCTCTACGAACTGCCTGCCACCGCAGGCCAGGCAGGAGTGAGGAATGTGCCCGAGAGTCCAGGACTGGAGGCAGCGTGGGACCCTCCATTTCACTTAGGTCGGTTTCAGGGGCAGGGTGGAGAAACTGGACAAGCAGGGAGACTGTAATGAGGTGTGGGCATCCATGACCCAGGAGTGACTTGGAGGGAGATTAACAGTCTTCAGAGGTGCTGTCTGGTTAGGAGCCAGCTTCTCTAGGGAAGGAACGGGGGAGCGGAGGGTGGACAGCCACTCTCCTTTGCTGCCGAAGTCCCAGTACCAGCCGGTTCTACTCCAGCGTTACAAGCTGTGGTCCTCCAAGGCTGAGGTAATGGACATTTCTCCATTTCAGAGAAAGAAGCCCTTCTTTTGGTCTCTGCATTTTAAGGCTATTCACAAATTCTTTTTGCCTCTCATCACACTAAGAGACATTCTCTAATCACTAAGAAATACCTTGCTCTGTTGGGTCTTGTCTCTTAATTAACGAATAAAGTTGCATCAGTCACTAAGGAGCCAAGTTGTTGTACACATCACCATAACTCTTCATGCTTCCACAAAACCTTTTCTCCATTTGCTCTGTTGGGTCTTGTCTCTTAATTAACGAATAAAGTTGCATCAGTCACTAAGGAGCCATGTTGTTGTACACATCACCATAACTCTTCATGCTTCCACAAAACCTTTTCTCCATGGGGCTCGGGGTCATTCACAGCACCTCCATCCCACTGTCTCCCTCTGTGCCAGCCTCCTTGGAAATCGGTGGATGCTTGCTTAGGGCCCAGCTGGTTTGCAGGATTGGCCAATGCTTCTTAGCCTCTGTGGTGTGCATTTCCATTCACAGGCAGGTCCTGGACCCTGTCTCTGGGTATTAAATTCTAAAAGACAGTTACCTCCTAGAGCCAGACCCAGCACCATTAAAACTGGACTACGTCAGTTCAGGGGAGAATGAACTGTTGAGTGGGATGATTATAATCAGAAGCCACACCAAAGGGTGTACTAGCAGCCTGAATCTGGAAAGAGCAGTTTCATAGGTCCCGTGGGATGCAGGCAGAGTGCATGAGGATCTCTGTGGTCTCGTGGGTAATAAGTGGCCCTCCCCACATCGGTGAGATCCTCGAGGAAGCATATGTGCCCCTGTCGTGGCTGTAGGTTCTGTCCCTCCTTTAGGGCCAATGTAACCAGCTCCCAAACAGTTTGGCCCAGTACCACAGAGCATTGGTTCCTTGATCAGTCTGGATTTTAATGCTTCCCACTTTCTCTACCCCCCCAGGCCCCCCGTGCTGCTTGGGCCTTGTACCAGTTGAAGAAGTGGACAGTCCCGACTCCTGTAACGTGGGTGGAGGAGACTGGTGTCCTCAGCACTCTCCAGGGACCTACCTAGGACAGGAAGCTGGAATGCGGCTCTCCCCTGGCCCGCTGGTGCATGTGTCTTTTGAAACACCACCTCCCACAATTTAGGCAAAAGCCCATGTCCCAGAAAGACTATATATTGCTTTTTTTAAAAAAGGAGACAGAGAAAATTGGTATTTATTTTTCTATTATAGCCATATTTATATATTTATGCACTTGTAAATAAATGTATATGTGTTTTTATAATTCTGGAGAGACATAAGGAACCCTCCCCATTGAGGTACGAGAGGGAAAACAAGCCACCACATAACAGGAGTCAGCCAGGAAACAGTCTCCCAGTCTGGCCAGAATGCAGGCTGAGAGCACAGCTCCCCACTCAGAGCCTCTGCGGCTGCCTGGGAGGCTGCAGGAGGCCACCGCTGAGCTGCTGAGAGCAAGAATCCTAGACACGCTGTTCCCAGTAACCGTGAGCCAAGAGCACGGGCCGTGGTATCACCCACTGGAGACACCCACGAAGATGGCTGGATCTGGTGCTACAGGAGACCTTTTCCTAAGATGCCCAGGAGAACAGACGAAGATGTGTGTAGCACTGTGAGCATTAACAAACCTTCCAGAATGAGTAATCCATGACAACATATCTCTGTAAAAACAAACACTGTAACTTCTAAATAAATGTTTAGTCTTCCCCGCAACATTCTACTTAATCATGTATGAGTCAGCATTTTCTTTAGATGTGAGAATCCAGTCTTGGAGTGTTTGAAGAAAATGCCCATTTGTGACGGTTCTATCTGTAGTTGTCTGAGAAACCTCCATACTGTTTTCCATAGTGGTTGTACTAATTTACAGTCCCACCAACAGTGTAGGAAGGTTCCCCTTTCTCCACATCTTTGTCAGCACTTGTTATTCTGTCTTTTTGATAATAGCCAGTCTAACTGGGGTGAGATGGTATCTCAGTGTGGTTTTGATTTGCATTTTCCTGATGCTTAGGAGACACTTAATCTCATTAAGAGCTGTGCCAGACCTTGGCTTCTAATCAGGAAGAATTTGATAAACATCATCTTGGGAAGCCAGAGGCGGCCAGTGGACTCACTGTTTGGAACAAGTGCACCCTCTGCTGGCCAGAAGAAACACAGCACCTGGTCTTAGACTTCTGCATCCTTTTCCATCAAGCAGCTAAATCTGAGAAAGAACTCGCATTGAAATGCCTCATGGTTTTCAGGAAAGCGGTATTTTTAAAAAATTGTTTTTAAAATAAAGGACTGCAAGGAACATGGAAATGATAGGAAAGGAGAAGTAGAGCAGAGAAGAGAAGAAATAAAATACTGTGATTTCAGACACAACTTGGTGTGGAAGGCCTCCAGGTCACTTCCCAGAGGGCAGGGCCAGTGTTCTCAGCCTTAGCTTTGCTAGCCCAGGGGCCCTCAGATCTGAGCTGTAACTCACCTTCTAGCCTTTAAAAATCTCCCTTTGTTTTTTCTCCTTGATGATCTAAGATAGTTGTCAAAGTGAATTTTGGTGAACTTTATGGAAGTGATGTGTGAAATATCTGCCATTGAATCATAGCAACACTGAATGGTTTTAGTTTTCAAAAAAAAAAAAAGTCCCGGGAAAGAAAAATCATTTCTGACGCATGTTAAATGAGATGTGTGTATATTTATACCTTAACCAATTACAGGAAAGAAGGAAAAGTTTAGGATATAAGGCTTTTAAATTTCTACCGAGAAAATGAAAAGCTCATGTATTCAATTTTATTTCATTTTGTATTTCTTTAGGTTCAGGGTAATTATTTACTATAATAGTACCTTTTTAAAGTTTTGATTCATTCAGCAAAGGCTACAGAAATTACTAGAGGGAAGAGTGAGGCCTAGCGTGTGGGAGTTGGCGGGAGGTGCTGAGTCCAGCCGATGGCTCGTCGACCTCTCTAAGGATGGAGCCCCCTGTGATAGGACAGGCTGGCTCGGCAGCAATGAGTAACTCCTTTTACTGTGAAGTTGTGGCAGAAGGGCTGGACTCTACATTTTATTTTTCTTCCAGTGCTGAGATGTGATAATACTATGGATGAGAGTTCAAAATAGCCAAATTATATAACAGTTGATCCACAAGTAATTTAATGTAGGCTGATTTTCAGCCTCACCCTCAGAGGTGAGGATGCTACTCTAAGAGCACAGCAGGAAGCAGAGAACCGTGTGATGAGTGGAGCAGGACAGCTTTCGGCCACCCCTTGTCCAGCTGCCCCCAAACTTTTGTCTGAAGCTTAACTTCCCAAAGACTCAGGTGCTCATCCTAAATTACAGATTCAAGTAGAAATGAAACTGGAGCTATCAATATATCTTGTCCAGTTCAAAATAAAATAATTGAGTATTAACTATATCATCAAATCCCAAACATGCTGGATGAAGGCCTAAATATTGTAGACTTAACTAGTGATGTAGTCTAGTTCAATTTGGAAAAAAAAAAATCCTGATTAGTTTTACTCTAAATTGAAATACTTGTGGAATCAGTGACATGGCTCTTCTATAGAGTCTAAGTTCATTGTTGTAATTAGAATCACAGAATTTCAGAATGGGAAAGAGCCTCAGAGCTTATCCAAATTCATTTGTCAGGTAATAAAATGAGGCCCAAGAAGATTATATAATTTTCCCTGGCTCTTACAACTAACTACCAGGATCTTTCTTCGAGACCCATCCCTTTATCCGGGCAGTGACTCTTTGTGGTAGCTAGCCCCATGATGGCCCCCAGTGATCCCCACCTGCTATTCACACTCTCTTTGGTCCCCCTCCCACTTCACAGGGGGTTGGCCAGTGTGACCCATGTGGAGATAGTGATGGTGTGTCACTTCTGAGGTTAGGTTCTAAAAGACTGTGGCTCCCATCTGGGTCATTCTCTCATGCTCTTTCCCTCACTTTTGCATCACTCCCCCTGGAGGAAGTCATGTCATGAACACGCCATGCAGAGGCCCATGGGGTGAGGGACTGAAGCCTCCTGCCAAACAGCCAAGTGAGTGAGTTTGGAGTAACTCCGTCAGCTCCAGCCAAGATGCAGACGGCAGCAGCTCCAGTTCACGGCGTGACCACAGCTCCATGAGAGACACTGAGCTAGGGACACCACTAAGCTGCTCTCAGATTCCTGACCCTCACAAACCCTCTCATTCCTGGGTGACAGAATAAGTTTGCCATTTTAAGCTAAGTTTGGGGGTAATTTTTTACACAGCAATAAATAAATAAAACAGAGCTATGACTAGCACATTTTTTAAAACGCTTGAAAGGCACACGTAGTTTAGGCTACACAGCAGAGAAAGTGAGGAAAGGATACTCTCTAGTAGAGAAGCCACAACATCAGAGATTTATGGTGATAGGTGCAAACGATGAACTATTCTGACCGCTTTAAACAAGGATATGAAAGAATCTTAGACAATAGGCCAAGGGGCCACCTCTAAGAATATTCTAACATACAAAGAGAGCAAGTTCTGTCTGTAATTTGGGGGGACTGATTAGCAGGCTAATCACAGGTTACCAAGATTTGGCATTGCTGACTTGCTTTCTCCATTTATGCAATATTGCCTTTTTCACTTTTCTCGGTGACCAAATTATATCCTGGGACAGCCTCAATCGGGTATCTCATTAATACAGCCCCAAAGAGCTCTGAATCTAAAGTGTCGTGCTGAGGCAGGAAGCTAGATAGAGACAATAGTGGGAGAGGGAAAAACTGGTTATTTGCAAATGGGACAAACGGTTTCCTGAGCAGGCATGCACATGCACAGAAGCAACCATAGGCCCACCATCCCCACCCCCACCATCTTGGGTGCCATTCAGTTAGACGAATGACGTCCCACCAGCCAGGGCACCAATCTCTTTAACCAACGTGACAGAGATTACATTCAGTGCTCAACCAATCACCAAATGGCACTAATCCAGCTAAGGAACTTAAAATCCCAAGAATGTAACTGTTTTGGCTTGTGAGCACTCTTCTCACTCGAGCCCACCCCATTTTCTCCGGAGTGTACTCTTCTCTCTTCCTTTGCTAAATAAAACTGCTTTTACTTTTCATTTCTGGCCTGTCTTGTCCAGTTCTTTGCTTGAGATATCAGGAACCCGGATCTAGCCAGCAGGACCTGGAATTTTCTGGTAACAATGCTATATTACTAAGAGGACTCCAGTGTCAGATCATCCTTCAGTGGCTGAAGCCATGAATTTCAATGAGCACTTACCCCCAAACCAAAAGGATATTCTTAAAATAGTTAAAAATGTTATGCATAATCAAAAGTAATTGTTACAGACAATGTCCCAGAGTACTGTAAATCTATTTCCTTACTTCCTGATCTGTATCAAAAACACCAAAGGACTCAAGTAAAACCTGAAAGAAAAAAAAAAATGGCATAAGACATGAGAAACTATGGGGCATACTTAGCACTGATGGAGATGCAAAAATCTTCAGGGAAAAACCTCTTTATTATCATTTTGCAAAACACATTTCTCTGCTCCACTAAGAACTGAGGAGTTTGCAAAAACTATGGGTGATTCAATAAGCTGGTTATTTTCCTGATTTCTGCCAACCCAAAGCAAACTAAAGCAAACTGCACTGCTTGTGTCTGCCTGCATTGCCTGAATCCTGAGCCCTCAAATCACTGCTTTATGAAGTCGACAGTACCAAAATTCTAATTTGCATTTCTTATTCTAAGATATTGTTGGCAAAATAGTTTGTCTTTTTCTCTTGTGCTCTCTCAGAGAATACTTAATAACACCAAAGTTTATTTTTTAAGGGTCCAAGGATCAGGAAAGAGATTGCTGAATGGTAGTTTTTCTTGCCAATAGCTAAAAATTCAGAATAACCAAAAAACAAATTTTTCAAAACAAAAAACCAATGCTTTCTTACAGTTGTGAGATACAGCCTTCAAGACTTCATATTCATGTAAGTTCCAAACATCTAAAATGGTTCAGTTCAATAATAATTAGATGTTAGGTTTTATAGTCAGTTCTAAGATAACCAAACTAGAGAAAAATTATTAAAACTACATGACTGGATCTGGCTTTAGATAAGTTCACTAAAAGAATAGGATTGTTGCAGGTGACAAAGAAACAGAACTTCTGGTGAATTACGTCAGAAATCTTGGATGGATTTGAGGAAACAGCAAGCTTAAGGGTCCATGGGCTTCATTTCATTCTCTTGTGGGGGATGAATGGGTGGGAGGATAAGGCCACCTTTCTTGCGCAAAAGAGCAATCTCTTCCTTTAAGGCTAAAATCCTTTCCGCCTGGACTTGGATCAATTCAGTGACCTTCTCTCTTGCCACAGTGTCTGCTTTCCGAGGGCCCTGGAAGGCATTGCCCTGTTGAAAAAAAACACCTCCTTTTTTAAGCAGCATTTGGGATGTGAAAAATTCCCTGTCCTTATACATCTGTTAGGAATGCCAGCCTTAGAGTCAATTTAAACAGCCATTGCTCCTTAATTTAAGGATCTTCAATTCTTCTGCTGAAATCCCACCATTAGAAATGTGTGCTTTTGGACTATTAAACAACTCTTCAAATGCAAATCCCCTTCGGAATTTGAACATTTTAAGCTAGCTCTCAGTCATTCATTACCTAGAGGGCTTGTGGCTGGAATCATAAAAGATAAGGTATGTCTTTCTTTGTCTATACAGCCCATGTTTTGGTTCCCCAAAAGAAATCCTCTCTATTTTCTCATCTGATTTCTTTCCCCA